TATAGCATTAGAAAACCAGTGACGTCACTTGAATGACCAGCAAGTTCGGTAAAGGCAGAGGCCACAGAGCAATCAAAGCACCAGCAGAGTTTGGTCTCTGGAGAAACAAGGCCAACCATCTGCATCACTGGAGCCTGAGGCCGAGTGATGTCAGGCTGTGCTGTTCTGCCCACTTACCTGGGAATACTCAACGGAGCTGCTACCTTCTGAGCAGACATATATAGGGTTGCATGCTTAGTTTCATTTTCTTCTTTTTAAACTTCCATAAACCCACAGCAGTGGTGTCCAATACAAACTGCTTAATATTTTCAGGAAGTTATGCTATGGACTTTGGAAAACTACAGATGTGCTCTTGGTGATCTACTCCATCCTTACTCAGTCTGTCTCCTTCTCTCTCAGACGCACAATGATTGGCATGCAATATCCACCAGTCTAATGTTTCTTAATGTTACTCTGTGTCCAGCTTGTAGGAAGTGACCAGACAATTGCCGTCTTCCTCTTGAGTCCTCACCACATCACCCACCATTCAGACATCAAAACTAGCAACTCCTTTCTCATTCTTTCAGATCTTTGAACACACTGAAACAATGGCATTAAAAAGACAAATATTTCTGTGTGTCTGTGCCTCTCTTTAGGCCCCCTCTCCTCTTTACATTTAGCTTTCTATCATTTTTTTTTCCTTGAAAATAGCCTGAGACTGGGAAGGATGACATTTAATCTAATACAACACAATACAAGCCTGCAATCTTGACCAACATGTATGGCACCCATCGTACAATGTGATTCACCACTTTGGAACTGCATGAAAAAATTAAGCTATGGGATGGTCAAGGAGCCACCAGTTCATCTCCGAGGGCTGCCAGTCAAAGATTTATTTTCCATCCTTACTTATCGAAATATGTCTACATCTTAACAGGTATATATAACTGTATAATATATCTCTATAAAGATATAGAAATGTCATTTTGCTTTTAGCTTGAAGATGTTGATATTTTATTACAAAAATAAATGAATAAATAGTAATACAATGATATATTGTTGCTTTCGACAGGATAAATATTTTACAAATATATAATCTTTTAAAAACAAATGTAACTGTTAAATTATGGAAAATATGACACTTATTGATAAAATTATCAATAATATATACTGCATTTCTTATTAGAATTGATTGTTCTCCAAAGATTCAATTGAAAACCCTTCATATAAAACAAGTTTCGACCATTGCAATATGCAAATGCCATTGACTACATTAAAAGATAAAGTATCGCTTTAAAAAAATCTGCTGTGATTTAAATACAAGCCGAAAGTTACTGTTTATATTCTGCAAAATTGCCTGTCGAAAACAGTGATCAGTGAGGTGATTTGGACATTTTATATTGGTTAGAGATTTGGACTGAACGTAATGAGGTCAACTAGAAACTCAGGGTGGGAGAATAGAAAAGCTTACAGAAAAGGAATGTAAATCTTGGAATAACTCAGATTGATTTCATAACGTTTGTAAAATATTTTGCTTCCTTTTTTTCCATTTTTATAGAATGGAGTACAGGAAAAGAGCCTAACTCTGTGATCTTAAACATTTACTCAGAAGTAAATCCCCCATTATGCTCAATGAAACTTTTTTCCAGTTGTGCCTTTAAAGACTTGCAGTTTGAATTACCAATCAGAACTGGTCAGTTAATACAGTGGTTAGAAACATTAAGAGATCTGATGAGATAAAGCATTTCCATCATTTTCATGATATAACAACATATGTTCTCCTTAATGCTTCCTCTTAGTGCTGGAGGGCCTTGTAATTCTGAAACTCCAGTCCTACAAACATCAAAGGGAAGGAAGGAAGGAAGGAAGGAAGGAAGGAAGGAAGGAAGGAAGGAAGGAAGGAAGGAAGGAAGGAAGGAAGGAAAGAAAGAAAATAGGCAGGCATCGTGGTATCGACACAGACATATTTTGCAAATACTTGCTTTCAGAAGTGACTGACCTAAAACCCTCCTTAACAGAAAATAGAAGCTTTCATCAAAATGTAATAAGCAAATAACTAAAACAAGTTATATATAGACTCATTTTCTGGCAAACCCCCCCATCCCTTTCCGGTCTTTCTCTGATTTGAATGTAGGATTTTATCTCATGTAGTTGCCACTGTATCAATCACATAAAATCAAGTTTATGGCCTCAATACTGGAAATTTTCTTTCCTTGCTTCTGTTGCACGCAGTCAATAGCTTCATTCATCTTTTAAGTTGTAAAACTGTAACCCGGGACTCCAAAAATTAAAGTAACATAAATCCTACACTAGTCTTACCAAGGTCTTTTCTATCCTTTTTAGGATGTTGCCAAAGTCAATAAGCATGTGATACCGTATTTACCAGTTTAATTTGAAGTTAAAACAATGCCTGTCAGGATATTGGTCTCAAAACTTACTGGAAAGAAATAACATTATTTGTTATTTGTTTTAAACATTTATCAACTTAAAGAAATGGGGCTAACAGTCTGTTAAAACCTTAGGTTGACCATCACTTTTAGATTTCTGCTTCTGTTGAGGGGGGGGGGGCTGCAGAACACACATTTACATTATTGCAAACATGGGATTCAAACTTCAAATCTGTTCTAGCTTCTTTGCCTTTCTTGTGTAATAGCAACAAACAGGATAACCAGCATGTTAGTGGTACATCTACCAATATCCTTAGTATCACCAAAATTCACATTTATTATAATATAAAACTAATGTAAAATGTGGAAGAAGGGGGCACTATCTCTAATGCATCTGCACCCATGTCACCTCCCAGACATTTCTCTAAAGCAGTACAACAATTATAATGTATCAGAACTCTAATTAAAGCTCTGGGTGTTTTTTTATTTTTCCTTATTCATATGTATATATTCAGAAGTATCATTTGTTAAATTATGATGGCGATAAATTAAATAAAAAGTTATACACACCACAATGCATTGAAATAATATATTTTCTCGGGGAAACCGCACTTTACGGGTTATATTGCAAATGGAGGAGTGGGGCGTTATATAGATAGCTTATCACCTGGGATTACTGTGCTAAACTTATTCCTTAAAAAGGAATTAAACAATGGCTTTCTGTTCTAAAGTCTTGCTTTATCAATCCAATACACACTCTCGATGCATTGATCTAGAAATACTGTATAACTACTTACAGATTTATTAGGAGTGAAACTACTTCTAAATGGCTAATTTCACCGGTACTGGTGAAGAAAGGATTATCTCCCTCCTCTGTCAAAATATCATCAAAAGCTACAGAAAACAGTTTGGTTCTATTTTTGATTCCGTCATTTAAAAGGTTTTCAGTATTTTCTTAAGACAATTTACTGGACACATTTTTTTTAATGTATCAGACAAAAGACTATTTCATTCTAACAAATTTATTTTCTCAATCAGCTCTTACGGAATCACTACTCAAATTAAATTACAATCAAATTATCACATCAAAAGATACCCTTATTACCTAATAGCTGTCCATATTTTTTTTCCATTTTATTTTTGTAAATTTGTGCTCGTTTGAAAAAAACACGTAATACAAGATCTGGGGAAAAAATAAATTACCGTTTTGCAGTAGTTCATAGGTATTCTGAATAAAATATTAAAAGAAGTCATTTAATGAAAATATAAAGCAAATTTTTTTAGATCAACAATGGATCTAAACATTTCTCTATTGCCGTCTTTTTTCTTTTTTTTTTTTTTTTGTTGAAAAGTCTGTTTATTAAAACCTACCAAAAACACTGCGAGGAAATGGCAGTATTATAGAATCACTTCCACAGCACCCATTCAAGCAAGTTGGCAACGGATTTAGGAGAGAAGTTCAGATAAGTGCAGTTGCAGATGCCCAGTTGCTTTTTAAATCCCTTTATCTGAATTAGTCCAAAAATAAAAAATATTAATAAAAAAAATATCAGTGAGATTTAAAAAAATTAATCTTCCAGGGTGATTGGCAGACATCAGAAGCATAATTTTGACAGCCCCTGAATAATTCCTTTTATGTCGCTGTTTTTCTTAATTCATGCAAAATTCTTCTATGGAGCTCCAACTTTAAGGACCAACAACCTTGCTTTGCCTTCCCCCCTCCAACCCCGGCAGTAGGAGCCCTCCCCCCCTTTTTTTTCTTTTCAGGGTCAGCTTTCCACTTGCCGTGTTTCTTTCTTTCTTTCTTTACCCCCTCCCTCCCTCCTCTCTCTTTCTCGTTGTGAATAAATTTGCTTTCCTATCCTGACTGCTTATTTTTTTTAACTGCTGAGTGCATTATTTCCCCATTTTCCCCATCTAAAGAGACTGTCACCCACCCCCCATTTTGCAGAATATCACCCCTTCTCAAGTGGATTCCTGCCCTGCACCAATAATTAATGTAGTTTGGCCAAGAACTAAGTTCTGGAAAGCAGCTAATATTTTTTACTGGTTTTGTTCCTGCTGTGGCTCTGTCTCTCTCTAACCTTTCGCGTGTATTTTTTTTTTTAAATGCCTGTCTGTGTTTATACGTGCACGTGTTTGAGCTGGAGAGAAAAGTTTCAGGGAATCTCACAGGACAGTCCTTTGAAAAAGAATGGTGAATGCGGTGGCAGGTGGGTGAGGCTAGGAAATGACGAAGGAGAAGAGAAAGGTAGGGGCAGAGAATAGAAGTAGGTGGTAGTGCTTGTTTTGTCGCTGCCTGAAGGCAACGACAGGACGTAATTTAGATTTTGTCATAGAATGCTACCCAAAAGAAAAGAAAAAGAAAAAGAAAGGTATCAATTTTTGGTCTGTCTGGGTTTCCATCACGCTGTTTTTCTCCATGCTGAGATGGAATTCCCACCGCTGGGCTGGACTTCTCCAAATGTTTCTGATACAGAGACGGGTAAAAACGATGGGGTCGGGGAACCGAACACAAAGGTGGGCTGCAGGTGTATGGTCGTGTTTTTGTTTTCCTGTTTGCCTCCCTTCTCCATCTCCCTCCCCTCCCCCACCCGGACTGCCCACCAGCGCTGTGCTTGCCTCCCTCCCTCTCTCTCTCTCTCTCTCGGTCTCCTCTCCTTCTCCTCTCGCCCCCCTCCTCTCTCTCTAATAACTCCTCTCACTTTTGTGACGACGACTCTGTCTCTCTGACTGTCTGTCTTTCTGTCTTTTTCACTGCACGCTCGCCTGAAGTCCGTGGTGCGGGGGCGGCGTGTCGGAGCTGACGTTGCCGACCTGGGAGTAGACATCGTCGGGCGTCTGCTGCTGGATCCCAGGAGGGGTCATCCGCTTCTCTTTCTGCCTTCGGTTGCAAAACCAAACCCTGACCACTTCCTTCTCCAGCTGCAGGCTGTCCGCTAGGTTCGTAATCTCCTGGGCGGAGGGCTTGGGGCATTTCAGAAAGTGGCTCTCCAAAGCCCCCTTGACACTCACCTCGATGGAGGTCCGCTTCTTCCTCTTCCTGCCCTGCGCGGCGATCTTGTCGATGCTGGTCGGGCTGCCCGTGGACGAGTCGGCTTCCTCCAGCCACTTATTTAACAAGGGCTTGAGTTTGCACATGTTCTTGAAGCTGAGCTGGAGGGCCTCGAAGCGGCAGATGGTGGTCTGCGAGAAGACGTTGCCGTACAGGGTGCCCAGCGCCAAGCCCACGTCGGCCTGCGTGAAACCCAGCTTGATCCGGCGCTGCTTGAACTGCTTGGCGAACTGCTCCAGGTCGTCCGAGGTCGGCGTGTCCTCGTCCGAGTGCGGATCGTGGCTGTTCAGGCCGCCGGCACCGCCGCCGCCGTGGTGCTGGTGCGGGTGCGGATGATGGTGGTGGTGGTGGTGATGGCCCGGGTGGTCGCCCAGCTCTGGCGTGTCGCCCCTCACCAAGCCCGGGTGCACTAGGCTCTGGCTGCCGGGCGGGGGGCTCAGCATGCCGTTGACCGTGAAGCCGCCGGGTTGCGAGTAGATGAGCGATTGCTGCTGCTGCTGGCTGGCCATGGAAGGCAAGTGGGCCGCCGTGGTGGACCCCCAGTGGCTCTGGTGCGGGGGGCCCAGGTGCGGCGGCGGGGGCCTGTGGTGCAGCGCCGCGCTCGAGTGCAGGTCGTCCCGCCCGCCGCCGCCGCCGCCACCTTTCACGTCGGGCTGCTGTTGCTGCTGCTGCGCCTGCTGCTGCTGGGGGCTGCCCGTCATGCCCACCGGGCTGCTGGACCAGGGCGAGCCGGCTTCCACGGCGGCTGCGGCGGCGGCGGCAGCGGCGGCGGCGGCGTGGGGCAGGGCTGTCACCCACTGGTGCGCGTGGCTCAGCATATGGCCGCCGTTGCTGGCCGCCATGGCGCCCTGCATGAAGTCACTCTGGACCATCTTCACGGAAGAAGGGTCGGTCCGGTAGCCCCCGCCGGACACCGAAGTGACGGCCACGCTGCCTGGCTGCATCCCCCCGCCGGAGTCCGAGTGGACGATGGAGCCCGCCGACAGGATGCTGTTGCTTGGCAGGTAGGGGTTAGACGCCGCCGTAGCCATCGCTGCTGCTGCTGCTGCTGCTGTTTTTCCCCCCCCCTCCACTTCGCACTCCAGCCTCCGCAGCCAAGGAGCGTGGGAGGAGAATCCTCGCCTGCCCGCCCGCGCGCCCGGCCGCCCGCTCGGCCGGCACCGAGGCGAGATCCGCGCCTTGCGCACCTTCCTGGGCTCGCGGTTCCTTCTTCAGAAAAGGCAGCCCGACCCCAGCGCTTCCTCGGCTCCCTCCGAACAGTTCTTGCTATTTACCTGTCAGCAGCAGCCAGTATATTGCAGCGGAGGGGGGAGAAACAGAGCGAGGGGGGGGAAATAGTGCGAAAACTAGGGGAGGGGGGGTCACCCCACAATAGCTCCCCCTTTGCCTTTCCTTTTCTCCCTCAGGAGCATAGTTCTCTCGCAGTTTCTAGGTTGTTGTTGGTGGTTGTTTTTCTTCCCCCAGGAAAGTTTCTTTCTTTCCCCCCGTTTTCCCTCTTGTAAGGCTTTGTAAGGCGGTAAGTAAAGGCGGGTGGGCTCCTTTCTTTCGCCCGTCACGCGCACCCGGTCTCTCTCTCTCTCTTTCTCTCTTTCTCCCTCCCTTCCTCTCTCTCTCTCTCTCTCTCTCTCTCTCTCTTTCCGCCGGCGCGACTGGCTCCTCGATGGTCTCGCTTGCCTTCCTTTTCTCTAACACACAAGTTTTGTTTGTGTCCTAAGAAAACTTCTGGCGTGGCTGGCGGCGGAGGCGAAGCTGAGGAGACTGCATGGCTCAAAGTTGACGTCCGGTTGAAGCGCCCGGATCCCTTGGAAACAGGAGTCCTTTGGCAACCTTTTTGCGAGAGTCTGGAGGAGACATTTTTCCTCGCCTTTTTCTGCCTTCCCCCCTTCGGGATGCCTCTTTCTTCCTCCTTCTCACATGGGGAAAGGAATCGCGGGCAAGGCGTCCTTTCTTCCTTTTTCTCCAAGCAAAACCAACCAAGGAAAAAAGTTTACGGTTTCTGACCCCCCTCTAATCGGGGCAGGACCGGGGTGGACGGGAGGGAAGAAGGCGAGGCGGCGGTTCAGCTGCTGTGAGGGAAGGTTTGGAATCGCCTGGGCGAGAAGAGACGAGCGGCGGCGTGCGCGCATATAAGGTATCCTTAAGCCACGAACTCCAGTGGGGAAGTTGGCTGCCAGGTTCGCGAAGCGTCAGTGCTCCGGCGGTGCTGGAGTAGAGCAGCTCAGCTCAGTAATGCTCTTCCCTCGTTGCCGCTGCTGGTGTGCTGCCGCCGCCGCCGCCTGCTCTCCTCCCCCCTCCTCCTCTCTTTCTCTTTCTCTCCCTCTGACAGTTCTCTCTCCGTCCCTCCCTCGCAGAGCAGGGACTGTCGAATGTTTACCCTCAGCCGAGAGCGCGCGCACCACCACCACACTTTCCCAAATACAAGGAAGTCGAGCGCGAGGGCCCCTGCTGATTGGCTACCCGCTGAGTGATTGACAGGCCCGGAATGACTGGCTCAGGACGCGAGGCCCCCCTTCCGGCCGTTCCGATTGGTTGCTTTTTAATTTAGGCAAAGTGTCGTGGAGGCTGGAAACCTGCCCTACCCCCCTCCCCTCCTAAGCCCCCCCCCCTCCCCTCCCTTGGTTTCCTCTCTCTAGCGCTGCCTCCCTCCCCTCGCTTCCCTCCTCCTTCCGAGGACCTACAACATCTTAACTCTTGGAGCCCGGCGAATAAATCGGAGTTTTCCCGGCTCTGAGCTGAGAAGAGGGAGGCGAGAGAAAAGCGGGAGGAGGAGGCGCGCGCGCGGGGGGGGGGGGGGGAGCCAAGAGAGGAAGGGAGGAGGAGGAGGAGGAGGATAAAGAGGAGCGGGGAAGAGCGGGTTGCTGTGGCGGTGATAGGAAAAGAAAATCCACGATATAATATTTTACTTGCGTGCATAAAATCCCTCTTATGGGCGCTTAATCCGTGTGTCGGGGGGATTGCCCCCATTCATTCGCTCGGCCCCGTCGGTACAAGGGAGGAAGGCTTGTCTCCCGGCACCTTTCAAAGTTTACTCTTCTCTCGGCTTCGTCGGATGCGTAAAGAGGGCTTTCCCCTTATTCCGACGCGGCTTCCCACTTCCCAATGGAAACCTCGGGCAAGCCGAGGCCCCCATCCTTGCAAGGCAATCGGCCTCCGGTTCCTTTGTCTGAGGCTGTCCCGGTGGCTGCGCGTCATGTGGGAAGTACAATCGCCCGGCTCGCTCTCCCTCTTGGAGGAAGGAGCCTGTGCCCCGCGACCCACCGGGCCCTGGGAGGAGAACTTACCAAGTGGAAGAAAGGCGGCTCTTTCAGCACGTGCTGGGGCAAAACCCGGGGCAATGTAACCAGGCGTCCTTTCAAAGCCCGACGCGCCCTCGCTGCGCTTTCCCGTTGCTTTCTAAAATATGCCAGGACTTGCCTTTCCGACTCCCCCACCCCCACCAAGGACTCTTAGTTCCTTCTGGCGGCCTTCGCCTTTTTCCAAACTCACCCCTTTTCCGAGGGTATTTTGCAGGCGGTAGATCCGGCTCCTTGGATGGCTGCTCCTCCAGCTGAAAGAGTTAAGGTGGGCGGGAGAGCGAGCGAAGAGAGACGGGGAGAGAAAGGGAGGGAGGCGGGCAGGCAGGCAGGCAGAGCGGACGAGCCGTGCGAAAGGCGGCGGCGGCGGCGGCGAGGCGACCTCGGTGAACAACGGGCAGTGAAAGTGGCGAGCCAAGCGAGGGGGACGCGGACCTGCCTGGGGATTCTGGGGAGAAAAAATAACAACACACTTTTCTGGCGTTCAATGTGGATTGGGGACTGGCAGGGCGGGGGGGGGCGGGGGAGGCTCCTGTCACCTTCATCTACCCGGTCTCTCTCGCTGTCTCTTTCGGTAAAAATAAGCCCAGCGTGTTTACACTGAGAAGGGCAACACAACCCCTTCACCGTGTTCTGTCCTCTCTCCAATTCCTAGGCTTGCCACAGAAAAGTCCAACCTAGGGGAATGCCAATGGCCCCCTCCCCACCCCGGAAAAGGGAAGGTATATGTGGGACTGGCCCAGTGGGACAAGGAACCCGAGACCGGCAGAGTTGGTTCAGAACTCGCTCCGGCTCCTGCTTTGTACAGTTAAAAACGACGCGCCGTTTTAGGTTGGTTTCAGGGAGGGGTGGAGATGAAAGATGGGAGACAGTAATGTGAATTATTCCGAAACCTACAGCCTCACTTCAGGAAAGGCGAAATAGCCCGAGTTCCTTTTTTTTATTGCCCTAGTCTTTCCCGAGGTTTTCCTCTTTCCAGCCGAGTTGGTGAGATGAAGGATCGGAGACAAGATTCCATTGAATCGGTGTGAGATCTCCAGGTGCAGCCGAGTCAATAGTCGGTGCCAGAACCCCATGTTTTCTTTTCCAGCCGATTTTGCTTGGATCAGGCTCAAAAACCGAGTGAGTCTCGTGGTTTTGTTTACACTGAATGGGGAGGATAGCGGCGGTGCCATGGGGCCGTCTTTCATTAATATACAGTGAGGATTTTGTCTAAATTACTGCTATGAATTTCACAGTACATGCTTTCAAAAGCCGTCTCAGGTGGCCTGATGAAACGTGATAGCGCCTCTGCAGACGCAATAATAATAATAATAATAACCATAATAATAATAATAATAAGTTTTTAAAAAAATTCTCCCTGAACCCTGCCTATACTCACCAAACAAAGAAGGTTACTGACTGAGTTTGACGTTTTATTTTTTTTTAATTTATTTTATGTATAAAAGAAAACTTAATCCTCCTCATCTCCCCAACTACTCACTCCCCACCCCGCTTTCCTGTAGAGTGTGATTGCTTTGTCTGGGAAAAAAAAATCCAAAGTATAACAAGAGGAGAACAGTTAGTGCTGATTTTCATTTGCATAAATTTTCATATATTTTAGTGAAAATAATAGACTAGTGGAGAGCTGGGCTTAGTGGAGTCAGTGCAAAGGAAAATCTTTCCCTGGATCGTTGCGCTGCAGTCGAGAATGTGAATTTTCCTCCTTAATGGCAAAGCACTTAAAATACAAATTCTGTACATGCTGGAGCGCCTATTGGTAAGTGCATTTATATTTCTCTCCTTTTCTTGTTCTTACTTTTTCTTCTTCTCCCTCCCCCTTCCTTGCGTCCTGGAACAGTGTGGGTGCATGAGAGGAAACCCCCCCCTCGCCTTCTCAAGCACCTTAGTGAAAGATTAACCTAAGAAAGAAAACAATTTCTAAGTGCTTGTGATGCTTGTACACTTTGGGGGGCACTGGTGTAGCACTTGGAGAAAGGGGGCGAAGAAAGAAAGACCGTCGCTAGAAGGAGAATGATTCGCATTTGGCAAAGAAGTGGTCGGAGAGGGGTGCCGTTTTCCCACCTCCCCCCACGAGAGAGGTGAGGATACCTTTAAAAACACGCTTTCTAAGGGACGCGGACTGACCCAGAGGGGTAGCAACCCGGCGGCGACGAAGGCCGGCAGTGATGCGCGCAGAGGGTTAATGTTGTAACTAGGGAACAGACGGTTAAGCACAACATCTAGAGCTCTGTAGTGAAAGTCCATCAGAAAGAGTATAATCAATCAAAACTAACCAGGACATCCCTTCATTTTATCCTCTGAGGAGGCTGGGACTGAAGCAGAAGCAGCCGACTTCACCCCAGCTCTCTGTCTCTCACTCTCTCTCTCTCTCTCTCTTTCTCCGAGGCAAACCCAGCCCCCCCCCCCCCGCAATTCCCCCCCCCCGCACCCCACCATCCTCCTTGGCGCCCTTCTTTTTAGAGCCCGGATTTCACGGAAGGACTTGGAAGTCCTCTTCCTTCGGAAGCGCAGATCGGAAGGGTAACCTAACGGGAGTAATTAGAAAGCCAGCCAGGTCGGAAGGCGAAGCGGTTGGAGGCGATCGGGGCAGACCCGAAGAAAACTTTAGCCGGCTCTCTAAATTCCTAACGGGGTGGGCGTCCCCCTCCCCATTCCGATGATTTCTTCTCTTATATTCCGACATACCCCCTCTTTTTTATTTATCTTATTTCTGTTCGTGTTCCAGGGTTTCCTCTTTGCCTTAGAAAGCCCCCAACTCACACATGTGGATATTTTGAGTTGTAAAACAAAAGAACCGCAAATCCCGATAGTCGATGGGGAGATGGCTGGTAGGGAGGTGTCGGTTTCAGATGGGGGTGGGGGAGAATGGCCGGTCTCCCTTCTCTCGTGGACGCGCTCAGCTTCCCTTTTGACTGGGGTTAACTCTGTGTGTTCCATTGGAACAGATGCCGTATAAAGCTGCTCCCTCCAGATCATTTGTTTCCTTGATGGGGGAACATTTCTGAGCGGAACATATTGGTTGCCATAGAGAAAGAAATAAAGGAAGAACACTAGTCACATTAAGCTATATGTTTGTGCACTGGGCTTTAGATAAAAGGCCATGCTCCAGCCAAAGAGGAACGAAGCCAAAACCAGAGCTTTTCTAGCTTCACTAAAACTTACTTTATTTTGTTGTGGGCTTTTTACAATAGTAGCTTATACGGGAATTTTATTGGTTGTTAGTTTTTTTTTTTTTTTTTACCGTAGGATACGTTGAACAAAATAAAACTTTTTCAAGTTTTCGAGGAAACTGTCTGTCTTGGCCGGCAGGGGGCACGCTGTGGTGGCGATCGGCGAGGGGATTCAAAGTACTTTCACTGAGCATCAGTTGCCTTCTTCCAAAAGTTTGTTAGAAAGAGAAATAAGGGGGGGGGGATTTTCTCCTTCTATCTTCCATCTATCTATATTTCATAAAAGTATATTTTTCTATGTCTTTGCGTTGGAGGGGAAGAGAAAGTATGTGGCTAGGAAATAATGCCTTTCTCCTCCTTAAAAACACCAACCTACTATTTAGATAGAGCAGTCAGAACCATAAGAAAGAGGCAATAAAGGATGCACCAGTAATGGGAACCTTGTCACTGTGACTGGTCAGCTACTAAGAGCTCTGACTGAATAGCCACTCTTAAGTTATTTCCATTTCATTAAAAAGACACACCAACCCCAAAACATTCAGATAGCCAGTTTGGTCTAGTTAGTTAGTAATTAAGGAAGCAGGCTAGAAACCAGTGGGCTGTGAGTTCTACTCCTGCCTTAGGCATTAAAGCCAGCTGAGTAACTTTGGACTAGTCACTCTCTCTCAGCTCAAGTCATCTCACAGTGTTGTGGGGGAAGTAAGGGAAGTTTGCTCCCTTGAGTTATTATTTATACAAATAATACAGGCAGGACAAAAATATAAAATAATAAAGAAGAGAAGATGCGAAAGAATGGGCAATGTGCCGTAAAGCAGTTTCTTGTGCCAGGAATTGAAGTTCTGGGCCTATTTGAGAACTCAAGTAACAAGACTAATTTGTTCTCACATGATGGGATATTTCTTTCTTATCTAATCTTTCCAGTGAAGCAGGCATTTTTTATTTTACTCGACATTTCCTTGTCCCTAAGAAT